GCACTCTCTGGCCATCCTTAGCCTCGGAAAAAGAAATACAAGGCAGCTGATGATCGCCTCCTGACCTTGGTCGAGCAGCGGCAGTCAAGGGATGTCCTTTCATATTTGCGCGATATCGCGCTGAATCTTCAGTTTTGAACTCATTCTGACAATCCCCCTATTTTCTCCCGAGGGTTTTCCTCTCATGTGACAATTATTAACCCGTTTTATTTCAATATTCATAATTTCTAGGACAATTTTTGCAGCGAAAGTGAATGCAGTGAAAAGGGTATCACGGTGAAATGACGTACAGTTAATTGACGCATGCGAATAAATTGTTTGCAGTGAAATGTCGGCAGTCATTTGTCTAACATAGAAGTGACTTGCAGTGAAATGACGTGGAGCCGGTCGCGATATAGATGTCACTTTCGATCATCCACCTAGAGGACATTCATCAACAACTCTTTCCATACTCGGCAGCGAGCCGAACTGCGTGGCATTCACGTGCAGGTTGATTGACCAATTCTGTCACTGCTAACTACTCCCCGTTTATTCATGTTAGTTTGTTTAGGGATGGCTTGGGCTTATGACAGATGAAGAAGACGTTATTTTATTTTACCACTAGCATTAGGCCTAGCCTACATCATTCCGATAGGGAGCCGCCATGAACGCTGCCCGACGGAGGTGTTGTTGATAACACGCCACCAGATGTCTCTAATATTTCGTAATAACCTTCTCTGTTCGAATGTCTCGCCCTATATATGTTGATGTAATGCTCACCGAACATCATCCTTGCATTGTCTATATTTTCAACATTACGTCAATGTTGGAAACGCATTGAATCATGAGCATGAACATCCTCTCAACATTGTCAATATGTTATCAACGTTGAGTCACCTTGGCGTGCAGACTGGGGTGGTGTGGACTATGCCTGTGAGTGTGTCGAGATTGCCAACATCCGACCCAATTTCACCTTTGACCCTGGCCCTTGGAAAGTAAAGGCCCGGGGACACACAATGCATATGGTACAAGGAGGTTCATAATAAAGGTTTCACCCAGACCAACGTGAACAAGGAAGCTCCATTCCAGAAACTACCAGGCAAGGCGGATGAGAACAATTTGCTTAGAGTACTGACATTCCCAGCACTCACCCTATATTAAGAGAAAATCTTGACGTTGTCGAGTTCCTACGAGTTGCCACTGCACAGAAGAATGTAATACCAGTTCCTCGAGTCGCTTGCCCGAAACACTTTCAGTGTGTATCATGGAATGATTTATCATGCCAATATGCAAGGAAATCCATTTTCTGCTGAATCGGGTGATGATTTATCGGGTTGAGGAGTTCCCATGCCCCGTTTTGGGGCGCTGCCTCATTCGTGCATCGTTCGGCAAGTAAGCCGTACATTTGGGCCATCTACTTCCGGAAAAAAACGGAGAGTTTGAACACCACCGGAATTTTATTTAAAAATTAAATTGGACCTAAGTATAATCTCAACAGCCTGAGCTTGGAGCAGACCGAATCCGAAGTTCTGGAAACGGATCTCCCCTGTTGTCCTCATGAGTGAGGCGCTTGCACGAAACCACTGGATCACTCATGCATGCCAAGGTTTCATAGTACAGAATTCGGAAACGCAATCTGTCCAAACGCATTGTCCTGTTTTCGACCTCACCACATTGTAAAAGGAAAAAAATGTCCAGCAGAGTATAGAAAAACCTATGAAAAAACCCTCATGATCGCGTATTTTGTATGCGTCATGTTTTCTGAGGCATTCTCATGTGTTTTCAAGTGTATCTGGAAACCATTTTTTTAAGGCATGTTGTGGGCGGAGACCAATGGCGTCGGCCACTGGAGTTGCTCTTCCAGTCGATGACGTCGTACTAAAGAACAATCGAGACAAGAAAAGGAATTGCGACTTAATTGGACGAGCTCTGCCTCCAAAGTGGACAATTTTCAGCGTTTTTTTTTTCTTCTTTTCTTTATGGATACCGGAAACAAAGAATAGATGGAATCGTCGAGCACGAGACGAAACGCATTATTAAGATAAATGGCACCTCGAAGTAGGCATAGGTGTATTTGTATGGTCCAGAGTCCTGAAATATTGACGAGGCCACGAGGTCCTCCATCGCGCATATTCCCCAAAGAGCACCGTTCCATCGACGCGGGTGGGGCAAGTTCGCGGTTTGGGATGTCGGATTTCACTCAGCCGGAATGAGGGACCGCCGCGTTTTTCTTCCATTGTTTGTCCTCGTCCTCCATCCATCCTTGCTTTCGACTGGGATTCCTCTTCTGCGTCAGTTTAACCTTTCTTCATCGGTGCTGGTTTTCTCAAAAGCAACCAATATTCTTTTGGGAAGAAATGAGGCTCCTCATGTAAACCATTCGGATGTTCGGACAATTAGTCTGTTTAGATGTGTGTGTGTGTGTCGAAGTTTGTGGGCAAGAGGTATTCCTGGTTATGTGGTGATAAAATGGCACCCCTCCGAAGGTGAATTTCTTACTTGGGATTAATCAGTTCATTAATACTTTTCTAGCAATGGGTATTAGCCTAAATTCAGCTTAATTAATGAGTATTCCAAGATCACTTGTACAGGTACCATGCAGATTAAACAGTCGAATGTCTCAGAACTTAAAATAAGATTGAACATTACAGGAGATCCCGCGAAAGCTTGAGACCAACTCCAGTTTCTTGCTTCATCGAAGCAGTTCGAGACGCTCAAGTTTCGGGTCCATGTTTAATTGCAGCGGCAATCTGTCGTTACACCCTCGCGGCGTCACACGACGAACACCTCCCGTCACACTTTCTCTAGGAAACACTCGAATCGCCCGTTCTAACGACCTTTCAATAGACGGTAATACGGTCTCCGTTTCGAGAGCGATTCTGAATGCGAAACGGAATCGGAATCCCCCGAGAGGGAGAATGCAGTGCAGCCGTCGGGGTTACCACTCATTTCACCCGTTAAGCTTCCTTTCAAACTGGCGGTTCTCGTGAAATCCTGCCGAGGTTAAAAAATAAAAAGATTTAATTTTCTTCCTTGCATTTTGTGGCCTTCAAACTTCTCTTTCCTCCGACTCTCACCTGGCAATCTTGGATATCGTTGCATTTTTTTGTAACGCGTAGGAGAGAGCACGTGCCTGGCAAAACGGTATTTCACGATATCTCTAGTGAAAATTCCGTCTTTCCTCCAATTTCTTTCATGACTCGTGCACTCACGACGTACTCATACTCCTTCTTCCCATCTTGACATCTCATTGTGTCCTCTTTCAGTCACTCAAATCTATATTTATAATACGCACCTATCACAATTATTATCAGAGAACTGTACGTGACGAAGAGGTCAGCCAGGCGTCAATCGACTCTACGAGAAATGGTGGTTTGCCAAAAAAACGCCAAATCATCAGAATGTTTATTAATAAAAAGTTTCAAAGTCAAAAATGTCTTTAAATGCCTGTAAAAATCGAAACTGTTTTGAGCTGAATTCTCGATCCAAAGGTGCTAAATATCTTGATTGCACATTGTGTATTTAAAACAACAAACCTCCATAGCGAATGAAAAATGTGTTTTTCCTTTGGGTGACGGGGATTTCGTTCCTTCAGGGAGCCTCGAGGAAGAGAGCGCGGGGACTCCCGGATCCCCTTGCGTCCTTCGCCGACTCCTCGCGTCGCTTCGGCCGGATGTAGTCGTCTCAGCTCGGCTTTCACGTGGTCTCGTCTTCGCCTTCTCCGTGCTGTTCGAGTCACCCCGGTTTAAAATCCCGGCTGGAAACGGCTATAATTTCCAGCTGGACTCCAGCTGGAAATTCGAACCCATTCCAACTGGGTAACAGCTGGAAAGTAGTCATCTCCAAATTTGTTCCTAATTGCTATACCACTAGCTGAATGAGAATCTTTTTTTTGTTTCTATTTTTGTCAGAGGTCCATCTACAGGTACAGCTGATTTTCAATTGTAAATTTAGCTACATTCCAGCTGTAGGGTCCTCTTTATAAAATTCCAACTGGGAAATTTCCAGCTGGAAACAGCTATTAAAACCTGCTGCATTCCAGTTGGAAATTTTCAGCTTAGAAACAACTGGTACCTACAATTTTCCAACTCTTTGGCAGTTGGAAATGGTCCGAATTTACAGATTTGGTCCAGCTGGAATATTCCAGTTGGGATTTTAAACCGGGACGGAACGTCATGGAACCGAGTTCTTTCTTCTGCTTTTCAGCGGAGCAGCTCGATGAGGAATCTCGAGCGCGATGCGACGGCCGGATCGGAGCGGAATCGGAGGAAACGGCTCGGATCCTTTATTCCTGTTCCCATTTCCCGTCGGATTTCTCCATCCGGAAGAGGAGCAAGATCCTCTTTCTTTGCCCAGCGGCATGGACCGTTCGCTTCTTCGCACGAGTCAGTCTGCCCTTCATCATTTTTATTTTATAGTTTCGGCAAATCATATGCAGGATTAGACGATTTTCGTAGAGTATTTAATTTTCATTCTGGAGCCCTTTCGCCCTTTCTGGACGATCAGCGATTCGTAGATGTGCTCGAGTCCAGACAAAATAAAGAATTATGGGAACATTCACGATATTGATTTCTTACTTATCGTTATGATTCCTTCCCATCCCTTCATCTTTCTTTAAGTAGATGACTTAACACAATATATGTATTTAGGAAGGAGAGTAGTGACTTAAATTATTTTGAAAATTCCTTTGTTTTATAAATAAGTTAAGCTATTTTATAAATAAATAGTTCCGGATGATTGGCCAGAACTCTTCCTTTCCAGCATTTATTATTGGTTCTTCGCAAGAACCATTTTACAATTAAGTAACACCAATGGAAGGAAGGATAACAACGGCAGCAATGGAGATGAAATTCCCCAGAATCCAATCGCCTTCGATTATCCTCACCGCAATCCTCAAGTCAGCCCTCAGTTTTGGATGGATTTTTCGAATGGACTCGATGCGACGACCCGAGACGACCCGACTCGACCCGACTCGGTCGCGAAGTCCATCCGATCATCGAGTCGAGCCGAATTCGTTCGGGATCCGTTCCGAGACGAATTTCTCAGTGACCCACGACTGTTCCCATGAATGTGACCCATGAATGTTCGCGCACGGCCGATCGCAGTGGATGGATGGATGCAATGGATGGATGCGATGGATGGATGCGATGGATAGAGGAAAAACTCCGTCACGGCGCGTTCTTTGCTCCATCTCGATAGCCCGTATCGATGCGTGCGGGGGTCCTGTCGTAATCATCTTCAAATACGAGAATCCCGATGATGGGGGGACATCTATTGTAGTGTTGACGATATATTTCCTGGAATTGGTATCGACCCGTGGATCGAACATCGACTGCTTATCGACTGGGTTTCGACCATGATAGACGGGGACTCCATCCACGCCTCGATGTCATTATTATATATTTTGTCCATATACATGGAACCCGGGAATTCCCAGAAGGGATGTCTTAGGGATGTGTCGATACGGAGTGGACGAGAATACTTGTATCTTCGAGATGAAAGAACCTTAAGTTAAGGGACTCTTTTTTTTTTTTGCATAGGAGCCCCTGGATTCATAAAGAACCGTTGACTAACAAGGGTTTCAGCATCTGCGCATTATTCTTTTAATTTCTTCCTTACCTTCTACGTAGCTACTAGGTTCACGCTCACTGTCCTCAACGTGCTTTCGAGGCGATTGCTACGTTTTCTACCGAATGGGGCAACGGAAGTCGACGAGGGGTAATAAGTAATGCATTATTCAGAATAACGCGGTATTATTTTTTTTTTGGAGATGCCGCTTTATTTTCTTCTTTTTTTACAACAAAACTCAGGTATCCCGGACTCGTACGTCTTGCCGCAAGGATGATAAGAGAATATCACGTCACGACATATGGTTCTTCTCGTTCTTTTCAAGTTTTCGAATCATGAGTTCGTTTTCAAAACTACTCTGACGATACCAAGAATACGCTATGAATCACAAAAACCTAGTGTCGATTTCATTGCTAAATTACGGTCAGGGAAACTCCAAGTATTAATTTCATATTCTCGAGAACTTTTTCTTGAACCTAACCGGATGCCGAGTGGTATTTACGCTGGACCTCACTCAAACAACTCATTTTCTTCCTCTCAACCCCCCCCCCCCCCCTTCTCAACTGCTCTCTCCCTCCCTTTCTCTCTCAACCACTTGTAGATTTCCTCTATTCATCATATCATACGGAGTTGCTTCATTCGCAAAGGATTCAAGGGTCTTTTCAGGTTAAAATATCGGGACGTTGACTTTGGATCGCATCGATCGTGTAGCTCAGCGGAAACTCCTTACGCCGAGGACTGAGCCTCCGAAGAAAACACGAAATAAAATGGCGCGAAAGTGTTTCTTCTTCGCCTCGCAGGTGCTTGTCACCTGCACTCGTGAAACTTGGCACTGGCGATGCCATTAGACTGGTGACTTTCGTCTGCGATTGTAGAAATTATCGTGTCGTAAAAGCGAACTGGCAGTAGAATCTATCTTCCTTGTCTTGGGAATCGCCATTTCATATTACCTTTTTTGGGGTTCTGAAATAATAAATCTGACGGGGGACCTTGACGGGACTCCCATCCGGTGTTTCTCTTGGCTCATTTACGACCTACAGTTGCGATGCAAGAATATAGAACGTCGTGTCGACTTCTATTTCAATCGGTATTCGGGCTTGGTCCTTTCTTTCCGATTCGCTACAAATATCCATTGGGATGGTCTTTCTCACTCATGATTTTCATTAATTTCTTTTAAAATTGATGTAAAAATACGTATCAATACAGACCGCTTGCTACACTCTCCTACCGCAGTTTCTTCTAGTTTCTATAGAAGGAGAAGCAGGCGGAGTCTTGTCACTACTAAAACGAGGAACTAAAGTCCTCGTTTTCAATTTTCCGATGTAATTATTTTGAAAAATTACTCATTGTCTTGCTATGGCAAAACGAACTTGGATTACTTTTATTTTAGCCTGTAGGAGATACAATAGTCTGCGCAATTAAAATTGTATAATAATAATAAAAACAGTACTAGTAAGAGCAAACATATACTGTATAGGTTAAAAGTCCAGCTTTTATCCCCATTCCTTGATACGCAGAGAGACCGGATACTACTGATCGAAACATCGCAATGTATACTTGTCGAATTGGCAAATGCTTTTGATTGCTCTTTTGCATGCCGAAGTCGGATGGCTCCATGCAAGTTAGAGCTGCAAGTCCTCATCGTTTGTGTACTGTATTTATCCGATGAGATTCATGAGACTGCCTCTCCACTTTTCTATCTTCGATCTACCTTGCTTGCAAGACATGAAAAATTCTCGGCGGGAAGTTGAGAAGCTTGAAATGGTGATTTCTTCTCTTTTTGTTTCCATTTTTACATCCGCTGTATAGATGGTGGAGAAGAAGCAGACTGATTTCTCGGTGAAGTGGGTGTGTTTCCATTCCGGATGGAACCAGACCGGGCTGAAGGAGCTGGAGGGAACCCTGAAAGAGACCCTCAGCATCGCCGTCCTCATCCCGACGAAAGACGGGGAAGAGACGATCCAACTGTGGTCCAACGAGCCGACCCCATCCGGGTCCGCGATGTTCAAGCTGGCCTTCGAGGGAAATCCGTGGAACGCGAAGGAAAGCCTCCTTCCCGACCCCATCCGCCCCTATCGAGATCTGCGAGGCCGAACACTCCGAGTCGCGGCCTACGACTATTATCCCTTCTTCGTGTTCGGACGCGGGAAAGGCGGGGAGGTCATCCCTGTCGAGGGCATCGATGCCAGCCTACTCAAGATCCTCGCCGGGCATTTCAATTTCACGTCTGTTCATTCGTTCATTTGCATTTTCGAATGAGCTAATCGCAACGAAACACGGCATAACGTATAACTGCATGTTCCAAGTACCATAGTATAAGCACGTCAGGAATACTGTATAAGTCGTTGAGGAAGCACCTCACTCGACATTCGCCGCGGGCGAAACGAGCGAGAAATGATATACAATGACAGGGAAAAAGATACGAGACCGGTTCAACTTCTGCCAAAGTCATAGTTTAGGCAGGGGGAAGCGAACAAAAGCTGGAAAGGAGATTATCGTTATGATACATCCTCTAGCTTTCAGTGCGAGAGGGCGTGTGTCACGACGCTCCAGGGCTGTCGAATGGACCTCAGATGTTTCAGGCGTCGTAGTCCTAAAAATAAAGGTCTGCTTTGTAGTTAGAAAGTGGTTAGAACGAGGAGGCTTACGTTGGGAGTGATGCATCGTCTTTATGAGTCAAGAAGTAATTCAACAAATTTGAATTTGGTTTTCGTTTCTTTTCAAAGAGGTAATGTGCTTGAATGGGGTGTTTCATCCACCTTATTAAGTTTAGTTAATGTAGAGCTCAATCAAACAAGGTTGCATTCGATGTTCCTCTTGATTTTCCCTCAATGAGTCAAGGTTTAGTAATTTGATATAATATGCATCGGCGTATGGAATCGGCATACCGTCGTGTTGAAAGAAACAGAAACAACAACTCAAGCTTTTTTCTTATGGAATCATTTCAAGACCTTCCGATCTAAGGGGAATTCTGAGTCACCTCTTCTTGTTTTAGTAGCGTGATCCCACACGATTCTTACTCATTTTTGTGCCATGGGGTTTTGGACGCCTACAGATGGGATTCCGTGAAGCAACGATTCGCATTTGCAGCGGTTACTCATAAGTTTTATCCCCAGGGTAACCTTTCTCATACGCTTATAAAGGTACCATCGCGTCTTCCAGTCTGTCGTTTAATGGTTTCCATTGGTCTCCAAGTTGTCATTGAGGCATGGGGTAGTCACTCTCTGAGTGATGGTAGGTAATATTTTTTTTTCGTGCGATAGGTACGAAATCTTCGCACCGGAGGATGGAGAGTGGGGAGCGATGATGGAGAATGGCTCCTTCACGGGGATGATCGGAGCAGTGGAAAGCGGAAGAGCTGACTTGGCCCTCACCGAGATCACCATCACCGCCAACAGGTCCACGGTCGTGGACTTCACCTACCCCTACATGCAAGAGGCGTTGACCTTCGTCACTTTGGCTCCGGGCGAGTCCTCCAGGGCCTTCATCGTCTTGAGTCCTCTCTCGATCGGGGTATCTTCTTCCGAGAACATATCTCTGTTTCCTTTCTTTCGTGCGAGTGAAACGCACCGTCTCGGCTCTGAGCTTTGAACAAATCCTGTCCCGTCCTCTTCCGAGTAGACATTTCAGGTATTCGTCAAATGAATGTTCGAAACTCGTAGAAGCAATAAGAGGCAAGGTGGGATAGTCCCTGATGATATCGCTGTTAAGGGAAGAAAAGGATCAGACCGATGCTGCCGTAAATGACAGCGAAAGTGACGGAAATGTAAATTTAAAAAAGCTAAACCCGAAGACCACGGAAAGCGGTTAGACTCAGTGGATTCACCAAGAAAATTTTTTTCCAGTGGCTGGACTTAGTAGGTATCGCAGGGTAGACACTGGATGATGTTTAGTTGAACTGTCGCATGATTTCGCAAATGCAATAGGATGGGATCTAACAAAGAAACATCAAGAGAAGTTCCAACAACGTTGATCGTTGCGGGAGATTAAAGCTAAAACGTTTTCTGCGTGATTCAACAGGAATTTGAAAGGGATTGCATCTCCCAGTACTGTTATTTCTTGACAAGAACAAAAATTCCTCACTACTCCTGGGCAGGAGAGCAATTCTGTTTGAGGCCGGAAAGACATTTCACGTTCACCTTTGTTGGTCTCGGTAGGAAAATGCTGGTCTTTGAATGAAGTCATCAAATTTTGATTCACGTTTGGGGTTAGATAGTTCTAGCTGGCGACTGTGCAAGATTCAGGTCGAGACTCAGCACTAAAACATGTCCATGCGCTGCATGTTCAGCCTGACAAGTCCTACATCAACAAATGAGAAACATTAATTACTAGAGAGTACAAGGCCAGATACAGATTTCAATGGTCCCAATATCGTTGGAATTATCGTCTTCGCCGCATCCTAACCATCTAACATTGAAATAATATTAACTGTCATTGGCTCAGCATAGGCCGATATGAAAAGGCCTGGACATCTAGACATGTTCTCGATGGTTCGCGCGTCCGCATCGCGTGGAGATGGGAGGAGAATATGTGTAGGATGCCAGATGCGCATTTCACGCGTACGCCAAGCAACCCTCTCTACGCGGCCGGGAACAGCTGCTCTCCTCCATTGCCTATTATGGAACCGTCAACCGCCAGGGCTGGAAGGGAAGTGAATGTTTTCGTGAAAGACGGGCACCCGACCCAGGCGGAAAGCTGCGCGTGCGCATTGGGTTGTGTTGTCCGGTTGCTATGGTTACTGCGGACAGACGGAATGAAAAAGAAAAAAAAATGGCAAACCGACCGCAATATCTGGCCCCATAGTTCCTATGGGAATGTCAGATAATCAAAGACTCGAAAAGTTGGAGACTGTTGCAGCATGCATAGACCTCAGTGTGTTGGCTAGAGCAATAAATCTCGCCTCAAAAATGAGAATGATCCTCTGATCTCGAGAAGTCCTTGCAGTGTGACTTACGTATTGGTGGGGCTCCATTGGAACAGATGGAGAAGTCGAAGTATCTCAGAGTCTGGTTCTCGAGTGATGGGCGATACAGAAACGAGATCGACAGCTGAATCTCCAGGTCTTCCACAGTTTTGCGGGAACTCTGGAGGACTGTGATTGCCAAACCTGACATTTCCGAGGAGGCGAAGCCCTCAGCTTTGGAGAGCGTTTTTCTGTCCACCCTTACCTACGGTCACGAACCTACGGTATCATTGCTTTTGGTACCTTTTGGTTTGATCATTACCTACGGTAATGATCTAAAGCAGTGGTTCCCAATCTTTTTTTTATTTGCGGCACACATAAGGACACTGAACTTTCCACGGCACGCCCAGCCATTTACTCACTTCCGATGGTAAACTTGTGCTTGCTTCGCTGAACCCAGCAGTTTGATACGAGGCGTGATAGTGCAACTCTCAAATCGTTTTCCACTGACAGATGGCTCTCTCTCTTGCTTTTAAATTATTTTAGTTTTAGGTTTTTAGTTTTTTTTTGTCAACTCTCAAATCTCACGGCACACCTTAGCCTAACTGGCGGCACACCGTTTGGGAAACACTGACCTAAAGAATCGGGTTGCTGACACAAGCTGCGTGGATGAGGTTCTTGCGGGGATGGCCGGCGTTCCAAGTCCTGAGAGGGTGCGGAGTGCCGCAGTTTGAGAGAACTACCAGGTCGTGAAGCTACATCTCGGGATCCAGAGATCTCAAGCCCTTCGGTCCTGACACGTCTCCCGCAGGACTCCCGAGAGAATCCTAAAAAGAGTTCTCAATTTTGAATGACCGGCAGAAGACCAGTCAGTAAGCGTCGAGCGAGGAAGACTACGTCGCGAAGCTTTGCCACTCGAGGCTCGGTATTCCACTTGGGTAGCTCGAATCCGCTACCCAGGATTGGGAGAAACCGATAATGCTCCGAGGTGTGCTCAAGCCAAAACCCAATTAAGTCGGGATAAGCGGTTTCGAATAGGAATGAATGAAAGTGAGAATGGCAAGACTCGGGAGCACCCGTTGATCCGCATGTCAGAAGCCTTGAAACATGAAAGTTTTGCTCCACTGCACAACACATTCCGTTCATTGTGTCAACAGCCGAGTCAGAACTGAATGCTCCCATGGTGGAAAGTTATTTTTGCATATTCTGCAGGGAAATGTCTCCATTGCAAAAAGACAGGCCAGTGGAATTAAGATCATTAGGAGGAAACTTCTGTTACAGATGTGGTTTCTAGTGCTCGGGTCGATCATCCTGACCACGGTGGTCCTCGTGTTCCTGGCAAGGCTCCTGCGCAAGACGGAAATCAAGTCGGGTTCCGAAAGGTCTCTTCGTTACTCCCCGACGAAATGGTTCATCTTTGTCATCCAGGTCCTGACGGGGGAAAGTTCCCCGTTTTTTCCCACCGAAAACTCCATCAGGGTTTTTCTCTCCTCCTGGATCATCTTCTCCCTCATCCTCACCTGTAAGACCTTTCCCATTTCGAGTCAATATCGCACGACCGATGGATGGATGAAGAAGGGTATGCCTGTTGACAGCATGCTACGGAGGGACGTTGATATCTCAGTTGAGCGTGCCGAAAGAGGATCCTCCGTTGAATAACCTCAACGAACTGGACGCAGCCGTGTCTTGCGGGGACCTCACTTGGGGGTGTCCTCGTGGCAGTGCCACCGAAGCTCTATTTAAGGTAGTACCTCAACGTGACATTCTCTCTGATGACGCGCTTCCGTATGGACCAGGTGTTTTGATATGCAGATCCATGTTATAACATGTGACGGAGTTATTACGCTTCGTAGGCTTACGAGATGATACGAAAGTGTCTGTCGCATTATTTCTTCCATTTAATTTATTTTCAGATGTAAACGTTATAATTTCTGGTTTGAAAGTATCGTTCTTCCCTTTTTTTTTAAGAGCAAAGGGATAAGGTCATCTGATCACTGTGTCCACTTGATTGCATATTCTAAATGCTGTGAAAAAAAAAATACAGCCAGAAATTTCCCGGCACAGACTGGAAATCTTGCTTCCGCGGTGTCCTTGAAAATTGATATAGGCCTATATGCTGAATAATATTACAGACTGAAAGACTGGTGTCTCCTATTTAACAATAGGGAGGACCAGATCTTCTGTCTGCAACTCATAACAATGGAAGAAAATGTTCAAGGAAGCCATGGAGGTAAGATTTCCTGTTCAAATGGAAACGAGACTTTAGACATTAAATATAGTGTACACTTGGGCAAAGATTGACTAGCATCAGCACAGCAACATTCCGGTCTCATTTTGTGCTTTCTTTCCCTTAAAAAATGCAACATATTTCGTCGAGTCAAGCAACAATGCAGATGAAGGCCTCTCCTCCATGTATGGGATCCACATTTTACATATCTTTGATTTTTTCACGAGAAAATTATAAATTTACCGTCGATATAATCGTAAGTGATATTGGCAAGGATAGGCCAGAAAGGGCATGGTGCTGTCAGTGGAAGCTTAAGTTGGCTATCGAGTTAGCGTCCGTGTGCTATTCTCTTCATCCATGGATCCTGCTGATACTTTGACTCGATCCGCAGCATATTTCATTTCACATAGAATGCAGAGGAAGGAATCTATCAGCATCTGTGGAGCAGAATCTCGAAAAGTGCGGAAGAGAACTTGGTCCAAACCCAGGAGGGAGTATCAGAAGTGCTGAAGAGGGGGAAGAAAGGGAAGAAGTTTGCTTTCGTGTCCGGGCAGACGAATAGCCAGCTGAGAGCCACAATCTTGGGCCGTTCACTCTTTCACATCGCCAAGGATACTTTCTATCCCCAGCATTATGGGATCGCCACGCCCAAGGGAGGACCCCTCAAAGACGTACTCGACGCTGTGTGAGTTCACTCTCAACCAATGTCCTCGAAAGGCAGGGAATCATAAGCCCTTTGGTCCTTCTCACAATGATAGAGTTGACTGCTCCTGTCTTCGTTAATCGTGAAGTAGGAGTAATTTTCATTGCATTTAGAAGAGGTATTGAATATAATTTTCTCAATGCTTGATTGAAATCACCTTCGTTCTCTTATTGAGGTGAAGATTTGGTTTTGCAATTTATCAATATCACGATGTGTACACTTACGCATATTGAGGAAGATTACCAGCATTGGGTTGAGGAAATGTATTAAAATAGACGAAGTCTAAACCAAAATTCAAAATCCAACTTTTCGAGGAGACATCAAGATTGCATTACTCTGGGCATATTTTAAGAAAAAATTAGAACGGCACCAATGATTATAGTCCTTGTGTAGAAATGGTTGAATGGGCGCTGAATGCTGCGCCCCCCCCCCCCCCCCCCCCCCCCCC